TCCAAATATAAAATACATACTTCTTCTTGTTAGGAAACATGCCATTATTGTTTCTTGAAATGGTCCAAATGAGTAAATGTTTAGTGGTTTTTTGTTGTGCTTTTGGACTTCTTTTCTAATTAGGTCCACGTCCGTGAAAAAATAAGACACTGGAAAATTTCAGCGTGGAAGGGAGGTCCAAAGTGCAATCTGCTGTTGCAAGCCAGGCAGGCATCAGAGCTCAAGCAGTCTGTTCAGGGGCTTGCCCAGATGAGTTGTGAAAATCTTAGTGGACAGATTTTAGGTTTCTGTGGCAAGCTGCTCAAGCACCCTCACTGCAAAGAATTTTTTCCTTATGACAAGTTAGCTTCAACTTGTTGCTCCTGTCTCTTGGCTCCTCTTTCTTCTTTCTAACTCTCACTGTATGTAGTGGAGAACTGCTCTTAGATCCTTTCTTAGTCTTCTCCCCACTAAAAAATCCCACAGTTTTCTCACACTCCTGCTATAACAACAGCTGCAGCCCCCTAACCGTGTTAGTGACACTGTGCTTAAAATGTCTTCATTTTTCTTGTACTTGATGGGGGGCAGGAGCAAGTATGAGTGGTACCTTGATCCTCCTCTGCTGTGGGTAGTGCCTCTTCACCCAAGCCATGTTGCTCCTGAACATGGAGACTTGTGGTGTTTCAGAACAGATGTGGTCAGTCAAGACTGAGGCAAGAAGGTAATCAGACTGTTCTCCCATTCTCTACAATGTTCGGGGTTTTACCACTTTGAAAACACTCTCATTTTTCTTTAAGTTTTAACAGAGGTAAAAGTAAACTGGGAATAAAAGTAGGAGTGGGGTGGTTGTGTTGGTTGGTTTGTTAGTTGGTTGTTTTAATTTAACAAAGTTATTCCATAGATGAGGAGTTACCTGATGCTTGTACATAAACCTCAGATACCTCTGACTTCCCCAGTCAGGAGAAAATCTTCCACTGCTTGACTGTCAAGGAGGGAGGGAGGTTGGAAATGCCTTTCCAGGGTGTGGCATGAGAGGGCAAGCACCACATATAGACTGAGCTGAAGTTGTGCTGGCAGGCTGGACCGTGCAGCTGTGCCCTAGTTCAAGAGATTAATATGGCTATTCCGCTCAGTGAGAGTCCAAGAAACCAGGGCACTCCATCCGCCAGATACAAAGGATATAATTTTGAGCATATTTTTTGTTGATAGAGCCAAAATATAAACAAACATTGGACTGGGATTTTGGAAATCTCAGCTTTGATGATGATCTACTGGCTGCCCTGATTCCTCAGCCAGGTGGCATCACAATATCATTTAAATTAGGAGAAAATTGAATTCTTTCAGGAATATTTTGCAAATATTGCTTTTTTTTGTTCTGAAATAGACCAGGCAGTTTGTCACCAATGAGTTTTTAATGATAAATACTAATTCATATTATGATTCATCATATTTCAGAGTGTCTCATATTTTAATTCTGATGTGGATAAGAAATTTAATTTAAGCAGTTTGCAGTAGTTCCTGCTTTATCTCTTGGTGAAATATTAAGAATTATAATTAAAAATAAATCAAAAAGCTTCAGTCATTTGTAGTAATCTGTGCTCTTTTTAACTGTAAAATCCTGAATTGAGCAGTTTTAGACAAAGTTGTCATGTGGTCCTGTAAATATTAAGTAGTTTATGTGTGTACATTTCTTCAAATCCAAAGTCTGTTGGTTTGCTGGTTTGTGCTTGTTTGTTTGTTGTAGTTTTCTTTTTTCCAAAAAAATGTACCATACTCAAACAGCAATAAATGTCAAAATAAGAAAATGAAATTTTCTTATGAATATGAATATTTCATATAAGGATATGAAATTTTCTTATTTAAAAAAAAATTGAAATTTTCTTCAGTATGGTTTTTGCCAAGTTTTACTTTATTTTTAACAAGATATAAGTTTTATTTCTGTCTGAGCAAGTTTTAAAGCTCTGTAACTGATCACAGGAAAATAAGCCTTATCTTTAGACAATCACACAAGTAGTATGTTTTTGGCCAGTTACTTCATGTGGATTTATAACACGTATTTCCTAGTCAATATTGGTCTTATAGTTTGGTCTTTTGCCTTGGTCACAGTGGAAAAATGCCCAGTCAAACAGAAATGCACTTGGGCAGTCAATGGATTACTCTGTCATTTATTTATATATTCAATTCTGATGAAAATTATTATTAAATTTGAAATTATTGGTAGAAGTATTAAACTAGTCCTATTTCAGATTTGAGCTGCATGTTAAATTTCATATAGTGTGGATATTGGAACTATAGTCTTTGCATGTTCAGTGAAGAGCATAAGGTTAAATGTTTCTGGTTTTCTAGCCGTAATCCTGAAGCACCTGATTTCTCCTGCTGTTGTGTTGTGTCTCCTAGTAGAAAAATCATGTGTTTTATGTGTTTTTTCCATGAGTCCTTTCCAAATAAACCTTTATAGTTGTGAACTTGTTCAGTAGGATAATGTACCTTCACTGCTTTGGAGAAGTAAATGTAAAAAAATTAATATGAGTGACTGTTATTTTATTTGGTTTTTAGTCATTTTAGTCAGATGATTGAAAAACCAAATGCTACGTAGATGGTTTTAAGAAACTAAACTGCATTTTTGTAATAATTTTTGTATATGCATATCCAGTGTGATTGCCTTATGGTCAAAACTGAAGTTATAAACAGGGTTCATTCATCTACAAGAATTATTTGTGTTGCAGAAATGTCTAGTGACATTTACTGGTTTGAAAAACATGTACACTTGCCAGAGAAACAATCAGTGTAGTAGACCAAATGTGTAAGCAACATAGATTCTTGCATTCTAATCTTATTCTCAAGCAGTTCAGCTTTCCTGCCGTAGCTGTTGAGTAGCTTAGTGGTACCTTCTGTGTGGGCAGGTGTGTCACCAGTGAGATGATGTTCAACCAACTACAAGGGCTGAGGTCTGGTGGAAGGCTTGGAGTTCTCCAGGGGCTGGAGGATTGGTTTGGACCAAATTTATTTGACTAGTAGCCCAAAGGAAAACCAAAGCACTGCTCCAGTAGTATGAATCATTTGTACTAGTTTGCACCAGAAGGCTGACCCAGAGAAATCTTGGGACTGGAAACAGTATAAGAGGCAGTTCCACAAGGCTCACTGAATTAACTGCTGTGTTGTAGAGCTGCTTGAAAGTTACTTTTGTAAAAGAAGAAAAGAACTTTCATGGATGTAGGCATTTATCATCCCTCCACATAACTTTCCTGCTTTGCACTGCTAATTTATTAATTACAGTTATCAGCATCATTGTCAAATAAGTACATAGAAATAAAAGAAAAAAAGAGTGGGATTTTGACAGTTATACAATACTTTATTAAAAATGTGTTCCCTCAAGTGTAATAGAGACATTCTCATGCTAACTGTTATATTATTACTTATTATTCATAATTAAATGTAGGGTACTGCTCAAATTCTGTCCTTTCTCTTTTCATATTATGAGAACCAGTATAGCAAGACCGTGAAATAGGTGAACTCAAAATAATTTTCTCACAAACAGAAAAAAAATCCCTTGATGTTAATATCTGCTCCTAGCTGTTTCCTAAAATCACTGAATCCTTGCTAAGGGCTCCTGCAGTTGTCTTCTATGAAAGCAGGTGCAGAGGAGGGAGAAGGGGGAACAAGGAAAATAAGACTCTTATGAAGAATAATTTCCCTGGGTACTTAAACATGATACTGCAGGATTCTGATTTATAGCAAAATAATGGCTGTGGTTTTAATTGCATTCCTGCTTACTTATTACTGATCTTTAGAATAAACCTTACCAACATATTCATGCATAAATATACAAATGCACATCCTCACAAATATGTATGTGTGTATACAAATTTGCACAAATTGTCTGTGTGTTTTCTGCAAAAATAGAGTACACAGAAGACACAAGCGTGCTTAACAACTGCACTTACTGCTAAGATTGCCTTCTCCCATCATAAAAATCCACATTCATTTTGTTTTGACTCATCCAGAACTTCCCTTTTGCTGCTTTGCCACAGATTATCAAAACAATTAAGGGCATGAGACAAGGGTTCTCCAGGTGATCTGTTCTTTGGGAAATTTAAAGCATGAACTTCAAATTTGACCTAGGATGGCTTTTGCATCACATTTGAGGGTTTGTGTCCTTTTGGGTCACCATTGCTTTAAAAAGAACAAACTAACTTCCTGAGTTTAATCAAATTCTGAGCCTTATAAAAATTGCCACTTGCATGAACTCAGGAGAGAATTTGGAGTGGTTGATATTCCAAAGAGGCCTCTCAGAGCTGGCAGGTTTCAGCATATCATGAGTATTTGAAGCTCTGTGTTGCTGTGGATCATGGTGGATTCTGGGGTATGTTCATCAGAACTGAACATACAGGCGCTGTCCCAGTTTCCTCCTTGTTACCTCTATATAGGCTGCTTGGAAGTGAATTTTGCCTAAACCTAATACAAGAGAAAACTGACCCATAGGAAAATATTCTGGGACAAGAAACCAGCAAATAGTGGGAAACCAGGGCTAAGAAGTGAAGTGGGAGTTGACTGCAACTGACTGAAACAATAATTTATTTCATAATTTTTCATGTATAAATAGAGAAGGAGCTTATCTTTGCATCACTGTGAGGAAGTCCCAGTCTTAGCAAACATCTATAATTTTGAAAATGTATCCAGTTATATAACTATGACCTGGAGCATAACAACGATAATTTGGATAGGTGACAACATAGATGGATTTTTTTTTTTTTTTTGAGAAAAAAAATTATCTAGCAAATGACCATAGTTCAGCTACAGTTAATAGCAGGTTTTTGAACTGAAGGGTTAAATAGCAAGTATCTCTGTAAAAGTTACAGGAAAATCACACTAATGGGATCTCAGGTTTGTTTAGGATACAGAGGTACTACATGAGTTATTGCTTATAAATAATCATTGTATAAGTAATGCATTTGTATGACACTACTTGCTGTTTGAAAAAATATATTTATTTCTTTTTGTTTTTTTCTCTCTTCATCTAGGAGTTATTGATATTTTTACAAAATTTGCCCACGGGACGATGGGGAAATGAAGACATCAGTGTACTCCTAGCAGAGGCCTACAGACTGAAGTTTGCATTTGCAGATGCCCCCAATCATTACAAGAAATGACTATACAGAGAGAGAAATCATTAGATCCATCATGTTCTGCAATATTAAGGCATCTGTTGTTCTGGTTGTGCTTTCAGCTCATTGCTTTTTCATTTGAAGTAAGATGACCATTAAAATTCTGTTAGAATTTGCAGAATGAGAACAGAATACCAAAGAAAAGGACAAAGCAGGATATCAAGCGCTGAATGAACTTAAAAGTGAATTTTTTTGCTCAGGATGAAAAATAAGTTCAGAAGTCTTATCACATAATTTTCTGCTTTTTTCCCCTTCTCTAAGTAGTCAGACTATCTAATTTATGTTGAGCAATTTTTCTTTGTACCTAAGATGATTTTGTCATTATTTCAGTGTCATCTGCCATGATTTTATCAGCTGGTTTTGGTCAGTAAAAATTATTTAGTTTGAGTAGAAAAGTAGTTTGTGGTCATAAAGTCCATAAAGAGACAGAAGGCCTGTGTTTTGAGGTCTGCTGTAACTCAGAAGACAGTGGTATTAGCACATCATCTGTTGTTTTTCCATGGAATTAGGTTAGAATACTTCAATAATATAAGAATATAGAAGCATGCAATGGAAATTGGTGGAATATTTCTAAACATTATTCAGTCTTGAAGGATGCTGTAGAAGCCATACAAAGGAGTTACTTAAAGCTGAAGACTCATATATGACAATAAAATAAATCCCTCTCAATATGTTTTCGAGTGTTTTAAAATATTGAATTAAATAGAAGGCATGGTCTTGTCAAAGTAATTAATGTTTTTTCTTTCAATGCCTTTCAGTTTTTCAGCATGAAAGTTCACTTTTAAGAAATGTATTAAGAAGCTTGGTTTACAAAGCAGGATATATTTTTATCTCAGTTGTTGCCTTATTCTCCATTTCTAGCATGTTAGAAAAGGAAAATTAATATATCTTTCCAAAGCTTATTTGTTAAATAATTTAATACCTTTTTTCCTTTATTATTCAGAGGAAGTGAGAAGCTAGTTCCCAATACCAATAACAGTAACTATATACTCAGATCATTAGCAGAACAAAAATCCTCTATGAGTTTAAAGACTAAAATTAATGTTTCTTCATATAACCATGGAATACTGAATAATTTCTTACATCATTTAAGTGCACTATTTTTTTTTTCAAGAAGTATTTTCTGATAAGAATTCGGATTTTGCTCTGTTGGATGTAAATAACTCATTAATTTGTGCCTACCATACACTTACAGGTTATTAAGGGTGAGAGGTGCAATAAGCAATATACAAGAAGTTCAGACTTATTATTCCTCAGTTTGGTTCTTGAGTTGCACAGCGTTGCACAAAAATGTAGTGCACTTTGGAGTTTGGGAAATAAAAAACCTTCAAGAGATTTTGTCTTATGACTTGTTAGTGCAAGATTATTTTCAGCTTCTTAAAAATATGTAGATACCTATTTTGAAGAAAGCTTTCTAAATGTGTTAGTTACATTACTTGCTTTAGGGGCCTTAGTTCTTGACACTGACTTTATAATAATTAGGTGTTTCAAGGTAAATAGAGTAAAATACATTTTTACCAATGTGTGATTATGAGACCTGTATTTTAAAAATATACAAAGTTTTTGGTAGAAGAGAAAAAAAATGAATTATTTCAAAAGCAGGCATGCTTGGTCACTAGGATGCATTTCTTTTCTGCTGGTGTCAGCTGTTGGTTGCAGTTGCAGTGGATACAAGGTCAGGCCTCCTGGATGGCTGCATTTTTACCTGGAGTGGATCTGTGCTTCTTAAGTGTCTGTATACTGTTTTCTGTAACTTCAGTTCATGGTCTAATGTATCAAAATTTATGTTTACAAAGAATGTCATATTGTGCCTAACAGTATCTACCAGTAACAGAATAAAAGAAACGTGACATTTATGACCATTTGCTTTAAACTTAGTCTCTACAATGATTTGTTAATATAAATGCATATTATTGTAATGAGAGAAGACACACAGCACTAAATGTTGTAAGGGTTTTCTATAATTAACTTTTTTCTATTAAGACATTATTTAGGTAGTTACTTGTAACATGGAAAGTTGACCCAAAGTTGTCTGCTGTGTCAGATGCTCCTGCATAACTTTTTTGGAACTGGATATATAAAATTTCCTTCATTGGGTCCACATAAGTTATCTACCATGTCTTCCAAATTCAACAGGTACCTCTTACTTCCCTTGGAAGAAAGTATTACCATAAGAGGTCACATTTACTATTGTGTCTGTGTCAGAAGTTGAATATTGTACTTGAGCACATTGCTTTTTAAGGATAGTGGGAAGTTTCCTAATATACTAGCAATGTTTATTTATGTAGATATAGACTTTTCTGGAAAATATGATATAGGTATATAAATAACATTTATATATCTATACAGATAAGAGTAGTTTTCAGTAAATAGAAGGCCAACACTTATGTAAAATTTCAAATTTTTATTAAAAAAACACAACTTACACTTCGCAATTTTACATCTCAGGAAAAAAAGTCATTCCAAACAAAGTACTGCATAGAAAAGGAAACAACATAATCATTATTACATCCAAGGTACTTCCTTTTTTCAAAATTCAAGATTCTGAATATTATAAAATTCCTTTGTAATATGTATTTTCTTATGAAGGAGACATCTTGGCACATCATTAGTGAAACCAGGCAGTAATTTCCTAGAACTCATGCAAAATATTGAACTTGCAGTGTCTAAAATGCGTGTTAAATAATTTCTGTAATAAAAATTTAAACTAGAATGTACAATATAAAAAAGATTTATGACTACAGAATTTGAAAAATGTAAATAATAAATTAGTTAACTGTGTAAATACAGTACATGGAGTGGGATAGAAATGTAAGTTGAAATCTTACGTAACTCTGTAATATGTAATAAGAAATAAGTTACATTATTTTTGGTGCAGTTCCTTATGGAAAGGCCTGTTAATTTTTTTTTGACTTCAGAACTACAGAATAGAAGTATCTGAAGTTCCACTGTATGCTTCTGACAAATATTACCACTGAGGCACTGGTTAAAACTGTAAAACTGATGAAAGATGAGGAAATAAACGCATATTTATGAAATGCTATGTAGAGTGGAAAGCTTTTGTTTATTGTTTTCATCAAGCACGTTGCATCCCGCATCAAAACATGGGTTTGGTGTGTTTCTGTTTTACAGTCTTAAAAGCCTTTTACAAGAGCAAATGCACCAGCAGAACCTCAGTTCTTAGTTCTGCAACTCTGTTCCCATGTATCTTGTAGGTTTTGCAAGTCAGTAATACAAGCAACTTCCAAGGATGTGTCTCTGCATATACCATGTCCGTACAGGGCGCTGAACATTTTCTGCAAAAAGCAGATGAAGATAAATATGATACCATAGCAGAATTAAGCTGAGGAGAAGTTGGAGCAAATCAGGGCAAAGTAAACAGAGGAGGTACAGAATTTGTTTAGAGCTCTGAGGTGCAGGAGAAGAGGAAACTTCAGCTCATAGGAGGGGAAATAGGAACAGGTAGTGATAGGGTTAATAAGATCTAGAAACTTAGATTATTTAAGTAGATTAACAGTCAGGGAGAGATGTCCTGTCCAGGAAGCTCAAATCCCTTATGTCAAGGAAGCTAGTGGGAGACTTTCAGTGTGTCTTGTGAGAAAATATATGAGGAAGGGAAAAATAATAACTTCTCTCTTTAAAAGTCCTCACGGCATTCGGAGAGACAGGGATGCAACAGGCAATCTTTGTGTTATGTGCTTGAGTGAAGATGAATTGTAATCATGCTGTTTTCTCACCTTGAATGAAATTTGTGTTTCTTCATCTGCAATAATCTTCTGAAGACCCTGAATAGAATCAGCAATGGGAGATCTTTCAAATTGTTTTTTTCAAAAACAGAAATGATCAAGAAGGTGGAGTAAAGGCCCAAGGTCTGCCAAGGTTTGTGCTGGCAAACAAAGCTGAAAGCTATTTGTTGATTTTCTTGTACAAAAGCAGTCCTGGATGACTGATATCCTGGGCAGATGGAGGACTGTCCATTGATATAAATGTGAAGTACAACAGAAAGGACTTTCCAGAAATCTGATCTGCACTTCAGGTCACTTCCTCCTTGAAAACAGAGTGGGGAGGGAGATAAGTGCTCTGTAGCACATTAAATTTTTTGGAGATGGGAAAAGGAGGTGAGGTGGAAAAGGTCCCAGTTCAGCGATCACTCAGGCAAGATGCTGTGCCGTGAGAAAGAACTGCAGCTCCAGTGCTTCTTATCACTGTATGATGGAGAGTGAAGTTCCTGAGCAATTTAATTCCAGATCATTTGCATTTTTATAAGTTGAAGCAAAAATCTTGCTTCCCATCTAATTCCTTAAGCTTACTGTAGCTGAGGCAGCACTGGAGAAAATAATTAAATTGCAATGGCACCATATCAGAGAGCCTTTTAACACTTCAAAGTCTTCTGTACGTAGCCCACATTAGAGTGAATACATGTGCCAGAAACGAGAGGCTGGGAGAGATGTGATGCTACAGAAAGCCTCTCAGAGACAGGTGCTCTGAAACTTGGGCTTTTTTTGGCCACAAGAATTTCCTACAAGCTTCCAAAGGAAAATTAATGCACAGTGAGTAAAGCATAGTTATTTGAACTTGTCTTCTATGTTGGTGCTTGTGATCAAGTTTACACATCAGAGAAATTTAAAGTCTGAAACTGAACCAGTATGTACAGAGATGTTTGGAAACCATGCTCGAGGCAGAATCCTAAAAGTCTGAACTACAGCACAGGTATTCATTTTGTTCCTAATACGGAATCATCTAGAAATGTAAGTCAGAAATGGCCAACATTTCTAGCAGAATTCTACTGCAATGTCTGTTGGTCTGCCTTTGTTATCAGATTAATCAAGATTTATTATACGTATTTCTCTGATTTTCATGTTAATGTATCCTTCTTAACTGAGATTTCAAGATCTGAATTTCAGGATCCAAACCACTTTATTCCAGAAATTTGTTATCCAGTCATCACTTACCTGTGCCTACTCAGAGATCCTCCTCATGGAAAGAAGAACATTCTGAATTTAAGAATGATAGAAGGAAAAAAAAGAAAAAAACTAAACAGAGAGAATAAAGGAGTTTTATTCCCATTAATTTCTGATTTCCAGAAAGGAGAAAATGCAGCTCTTGGGGTATTTGGACAACTTCATCCTCAAACTCAGGGTGCAATCTTTCACACAGAGCTTTTTGAAATTCAGCTTACGTATTTTCATATATTTCCAACTTTCTCCAGAAAGATCTGAGATTTCCAGTGAACAGTTCCTGCTACCAACCCACTAGATCAATTCTGTTCACTCTTTCAGCAC